TTCTATCCTGTCTTCCTTCTCTCACCCCAGCTGGTCGTGGCAGATGGCCGCCCCTCCCTGAGCCTGGTTCTGCCGGAGGTTTTTTCCTGTTAAAAGGGAGTTTTTCCTTCCCACTGTCGCCAAAGTGCTTGCTCATAGGGGGTCATATGATTGTTGGGTTTTTTCTCTGTATGTATTATTATAGGGTCTACCTTACAATATAAAGCATCTTGAGGCGACTGTTGTTGTGATTTGGTGCTGTATAAATTAGAGATGGACATAAAAAAGTGGTATCGTGCCATCTCTAATATAAATACAATTGAATTGAATTGAACTAATTTCCATTGACACTAGAAGAGACATACCATACTGTTAGCTCGAAGTTGTCTAAATCCTAAAATCTTTTATTACAATTGCATGATAACAGCAACCAAAACTAAATATTAACTCATAGAATCCTGAATAGAAATCTATTTTACATGTAAGAATGGTAAAGATAAAGGCGGTTGACCCACCCATGATCACCAAAAAAAACGATCAATCAACAGCCGAACCAATAAACTTAAGAGCCAGTCGTGTTGTTGCCTCATGAGATTCACAACAATTTCCAGTGTTGTGAATGTTGGGGATGCATATCTCCCTGTTATCATTGTAAAGCTGTAGGCTAGAGTACTCATCGCTTTTCTTGGCATTAATTAGCATTAACATCAATTAGCATTTGTACCCTGATAGGACAAGAGATTGTTCCATATTGAGGAGTTAAGATCTCATTTGGGCACTTAACTTTGTAACCATTCCATTTATCATATTTACTCAGTATAAAGATCTGTTCCTAGAAGGAATTGTTGTTCCTAAAACTGTGCCAATCATAAGTCGTAGATCATGTTACAGAAAGAGACTAGCAGTGATGTGGCGACAATATCAGGGGAAGTGCATCAGCTCATAAGAATGAAAAACACGGCAACAGTTAGTGTTGCAAAGAGGATAGGTCCCAAAATTAGAGGACTACCTTAACAACCACAGCCTGGAATGTCTACTGGCTCCCATCGTTCCACTACAAAACATTTCGGCAGGAGCCCTTGATGCTTTGAACAGTGAAGTATGTTACAGCATGTTAGAGCAGTAACATGCTACTCCCTCTGACTGCATCTGATTCCCTAACAGCAACATGCTTCACAGCTGCACTTACTGACTTGCTGTCCCATTAGTACACCTGCTACATTTGAAGAATGTTAGGATAGGCAAAGAACAGATAGACACATAGAGAGATCTGTCAGCTATAAACAGATTGTTTTGTTTCTCTTTAGTTTGCAGTCATGCTCTTATCTTTATACAGCTTTTTATTAACTTTCCTGTTAAAAGTCCAACTATGACTCAACTATGCCACTTCACTCTGTAAGCATGTCAACATCCTCTTAGACTCACTTTCTGTTATTTAGATGACGATAAGGCAAGACATATTTACTTGTATGTGAAGGTTGGCCCTACCTCAGTTGCTTCAGTCTGAGTTGATCAGACTGAAGCAACACCACCACATACAACCTGTTGTATGTGGTGGTGTATGGGCAGAGCCTGACAAACAGGAATCTCTTCTTCACTAAATTTTCTTTTGAGGTGTGGATGGTGACCAATCTTTTAATAAGAGACGAGCACAACGTGGTTTCAAATATAAAGTGATTAATTATGAGCAAAAGAAAACAATCTACAAGCTACTAACTGTGTTTCCATGACAACACTGGCACAATTGTTGACTGACTGTTAACCCACTATTTATCAAACAGACACTTTATCATCAACACCTCTGACGATGGTGGCTTTGAAATGTGAAGGCTTGCTTAATCAGGCTTTTCTCCGAAAGGAGATCAGACCACTGTCACCGCGCTGACAAGTTTGATTTCACTGGAGTTGAACCATTCTATAAGAGAGCCTTTGCTCACGGATTATTCTGTTATTAACAACCTGCTCTTTCAGTGCATGCATAATTAATAAGAGCACAAATTGTAGCTTTTCTCACTACACTGTTCTGACAGCAGGTGTCACTGATTATCAGAAGGTGTCATAGGACAATAACAATCATATTGTGTAACTTCACAACGCAAGATAATGAAGTTTTAGCCATTAGGATGAGTCTAGCAGGCTGTGATCAGATAAAAAAGGGTAACTACCCACTGTAATGATCAATTTACAGTATCTTCTTCTATTTTAAAGTCAATTGACATTGCTGCACCTGCATCCACACTAGTCTTTCACCATATTTGTATTTGGCTGGTTAGAGCCTGCACTACAACTAGGTATGCATATGACCAGTCAGCTGCAGTAGATGTTTAAACACTCATCGTAAGTTGTTAACAGAAATGCTTGTCAGTCAACTAAGTATTTTTGTTTATTAATGAACAGCGCCACTTAACTGTTGTGCATTAATTGAGGTCCATGTCTCTACCGCTGATGATCCCAGACAAGCCCCCAAACGTAACAAATTTCTACTTTTAAAACTAAAAGTGAACACAATTATTCTTCCCAGGAAGGCCAATCGCTGATTTTGCTAGCATCTTTAACAGGTGACTTGCTTGATGTATGTACAACTTTTATCATTAGGCATGAATGTTGAATGAAAGTTCCAATATGATACGTTGATACACTACACCCATTAATTTTCCGTGCCTACTCCTGAGAAGTTAGTTTCCTTATTTTTTGGTTGCTCCTTGGTGAATACATAAGTAAGACTAACACCCTAGCATTAGATTCTTAAGCAATGGGATTCATTAATATTGAACAGCACTTTAAACTTCGTACAGTAACATGAATCAGTGTTGTTATGTGGAGCCAATTATCACCACTTTGAACAAGTTATAATCCTCCTCCTGTCGAAATAGCTAAAAGGAGTGCAAACTGCCGCGTATACTCAGCCCCTCATTAAGGCTAATGTCCAAAAGTTTTTGATATTCAAGGGTGTAAAAAATTAGAAGTTGTGCATTTGGTTCTTCGACACTATACTGTGCTGTTTTCTATGCTGCTGGAGAGGTGCACTTACAGAACTAGGGCTGGAGTGGCGGCGCAATTTGGGGGACTCTTTGCCAGCAGTTGAGCTCTTGGCGTTGATGCAGGCATTGTTCTCAGAGTGGACCCTTTTCACCTGACTGGCGGGCTTCTCAAACGGGTCGAAGCCACTCTGCGTGCGCTGAACTCTCACTTTCTTGTCTTCAGGGATGGTGTCCAGGGGCTTGATGACAGAGTCTGTTCCCTGGCAGCTGCGTGTGGACATCTTTGTGACACATATCTGTCAAAAGAGGGGAAGGGGAAGGAGAAGAGAAGTGAAGTGAAGAAAGGAGGGTGAAGATAAATGTGAGCATTAAGAGGGAAAAAAATAGTCCATCTGCGATTACCAGTGTTCAGCCAAAAAACTGACTGTCATCCAGATCCTGCCTGTTTTTCATCTTTCTGTCAGCCTGGGTCTCTTCCCTCCCTGTAGAGCCTCACTGCTACCTCTTTGCTAGGATGAGAGCCTTTTTATCTCCATCTCTCTTTTCTCTGATCAAAACAGCTCCAGCCTCCGTCAGCTCTGCTGCACATGCACTCGCTGCCGGCTGCTGCCGCTGTCCCTAGACTGCACATACACACAGTCCCACCTTATCTCTGACACACATCTACGCGTTCAGACAATTGTGCAGACATGCTACAGAATGTCTCCAACACGCCCACCGGGCACAGCCCCCAGTACTCACCAACTATTTACAACAAAAAGTGCCTTAGCAGCTGCTCTGCCACCACGGACTGTGTGTACGAGACACAAAAGACCCAGGCAGCATGACATGTTTTGCCACGGTTCCATTCAAGATTAAATATTTAGGTCTGAACTCCCCAGCAGGAAGAAGTTCTAATTACTCTAAAACACAAGGAGGAGTCGTCTTGCAGCTCACTGGTTTGCTCTTTACACGGGCCAGGTTTCATTGGACACAATGCAGCTTTTTTCACAGCGCAAGCCCCCTTCCCTGTCACGCTAATGTGATAAGATGTTATAAAAGAATAATATAAAAGCAGCAGCTATTGATCGGGAGGTTAGGTTACCACAGATTACTGAAAACCAGATCCAGGGTGCATTATACAGCACTGTTCAAAAGTCTTGAGCTATCCCTCGAAGAGAGACATGGACTGGTGTTCCACTCATTTTCAGCCCAGTCATGGTATCTGACTATTTTCAGAATATTTAAGCCACTTAACACTAATCTATAAGAAAAACTTGAAATGCAGTACAGTATGTCTTTAAGAAATTGGGGAAAACTGGACAAATAGAGGACAAAAGGAAACATATCCTAATGTAAACATATTTTCAAAGCCATGTCCTTACAAAATAGGAAGAAATGAATCTGGCCCTTACTGGCACCTACTGTTTGCTGAAACCTCATCACAAATGTCTTGGTGGAAGGGCGACTGTCAAGAAGCCGTTCTTAAGGAAGGTAAACAAAGGTTGATGTACGCAAAATTACACAAGAAGTAGATTGAAAAATCAATGGGAAAAGGGCTTTGGAGTGATTAATCCAAACTTTAAAGAC